ACGCGTTAGTCCCAACACTGGTAACTGTTTAATGGTGTTATCTTTATTGCTACCCCCTTCCCCGTCAATGTATAGTGTTGGTCCACAGCGCAAACATATTAGTTTAACAAAATCCGCATCTAAAGATAGCCTACGTTATTTTCCCCTGTGCAATTCCAGTCTCACATCTCACAGCACATCGTCATTAACAAATACCGGAAACAGACCGAAAACATTTAAAAAAAATAAAATAATACTTTATTCCGAGTGTGCTTGCTTTTCTCTTTGAAAGTCATCACATAACGGCATTGTAATACACGGTTCGGCTGCATTGAATATTACATATCTGCCGTAGTTCTGTATTTATAGAGCCCTGATGAGAAGACTTCTAGACAAACATGAGGAACTGAAAACGTGACGTGGATCATAAATATATCAGCCATTAAACAACATCTTACATTTCTTTTCACACAATACGTCTCCTTGCAGTATCAACACTAATTCGGCTGACTTTTATATTTGATCCAATTGGTAGATAGGCTGTATTTACACCATAAAGGTGCACAGCTGATATAAAGGGACACCTAGTGGTTAAAGCATGTTATTGAATTTCATTATTTTTTATTATTAGATATTAATAGGATCCCTATAAAGTATATTCATTACTCGTTATTCTCTACTAATAGTTAATTAAAGACTGTATATAATGACTATTTTGCACATCCCTTTCAAGATTTCAAGATTTTCTAAGGTTTATTGACATATCATATAGGCCTACACAACTATGGTGTAGTTATGCATTGAATGAAAAACTTGGGTCGCAGGTTCCTCAATAGTGCATTACAAGACATCTATCAATATTTGTGCATACCTCCAGCAATGTTAACTATGTTGAAGCACTTATTTTAACTGATATTATACATAATGTATTATACTCTTATAAGATGTATGTAGATATTTAATCTCCGGGCCTTGTCAGGTATTGAACAATCAATAAATAAAGAACACAGAATTGTTAAATATAAAACACAGAATTTGTGTGATTATACTAAATGATTTACAAATAAACACCACTGCATATTTACAACTGTTACACATGCTGATGGAACGCAAATGTTCCAACTTGGGATCAATAAAGTATATCTTATCTTAAGCTGATCGATGGCTACTGCCATATTTGCAAAATTTGCCTCTGAACCTTGACAAGTGCATGTTTCAGGCTTATCAATTAATGTAATGTAATGTTATCAATTAACAACAAACATAAGACCAGTTGTTAAATAAAGCTCTTCTGACCTTAGCTGGCATGTGTGGATATATATTAATGCTGCCCATTATGGGCACAAGCAATTTTCACCCATTTATTAATTATATGTTTTAAATTTGAGTGTTTCCTATCCCCTAAACCTCCAGGGATGTACACAGTTTAATACTGGCAACTTCTTATTATGGGAAATATGAAAACGTCTTTTAAAACTACAACTCCCAGTAGAGACGTGCCATAGATAGAGAACATGTTGCGAAACAGAATAGCCAGCATGTGTAGTTCTGGAGACGGGGACGGGGTGGGGGAGGGGGGGACGCGGTGGACACGTTCAAATCCAGTTTTGGACAGTCTGCCGTGGTTCCATCCCATTTCAAGTGCTGTTCGAGGCTCGGCGTAACCCTCGGAGCACACTCTCCAATCACAGAGCTTGAGGACTATCACGGGGTTTGTCAAACAGAGCACATGGTGTAGTCCAAACGATAGCTGGGGATTCTGGGTAGTGTAGTGTCTTCTGCTACCCTTTACTCCAAAAAAATATTTGTTTCTCCGAATCGAAGGGGAAAAATACAAAAGCATTGCACACAATTTAAACCAATCAATGTTGTGTAATTAACAAGGATAATCTGGTGTTTTTTAGTCGATGAGTAGTGCAGATATCACTGTAAAATCAATCGACAGTAAGGGGAATACTTACTTCCGGGTGTACAATTCTCCGTTATCCAATGAGAATGGACGCTCACATTGCCTTTAAGGGCAGCCGACACAAACGAATGCCGTGCTTCCATGAGCGTCATTACCAGTAGAAATACATTGCTTTTAAAATCGTGCTGTGCAACACGAAAAAAAAAGGGGAAAATATCAATAGATTAAAAATCGTGTTGGTGAACACGAAATGCCATGAGACTGGGTTGGCCAACCATGTGCCAGCTCATATTTCAGGGTTGCCAACTTTGGGTACCTGGCTGGAGTGAGATTTTGATATCATGGGTTTAATTACACATATGCGCACTAAATGACTGCTATCGTGTCAGTAGCGGGACCTTAGCATATATATAGGATATATATACAATATATACAAATACACAATATTGGACACAGACTATAAAGGGAACAAAGTTTCATTCACTAATGAAAGTCAAACACATGTTTGTTGCCACTGTTTTATTGTGTGCAATTAATTGACTTATCGTACGATAAATAAAAATGAACTCGATACATTTCCATTTACATGAGGATGTGACTAGCAGTTTGAAAGGATATACTTGAATTATTATTATATATTATCATTATGTCAGTGGTCTAAAATGGTCATACAACGGTGCCGACAATATTATCGTTTATCGCAATAATTTCCGGGAAAATGTATCCAACAAAATTAATTATCGTGAGAGGCCTATACATGAAACACACAGACACAAACAAATCTACAGACTTACTCCAAACTGCCAAATATATTAATTAACACACTCACTCTCATATACTCTTTGACTCTATTTTGGCCTAGTAATAAGCAGCAGACTTTTATTTTTTGATCATTTCTACTGGATTTTAGATCTGCGCATGCGCAATACGGGTCAGGGATTGACCAACCGGCTCCCACTACTCTGCTGTCTTTTAACATTGTTAAGAGTGGTGGGGGCGGGGAGGGAGGGAGCGGATCGACAGCTTGAGCAGCTGTCAACTCAACATTGTAAATAACCAACCAAAAACGATCGCCGGTTCATCTTGTTTTTGGCGTGAGAATAGTTTGGGCAGCGTGAGATTGAGAGTGAAAGCGTGTGTCACACGCCAGATGCGTGAGAGTTGGCAACCCTGATAATATTTAACTGTAGGCTACATTATTGAGAGTGGTATCAATCTTCTCATCTAACTCCCAGAACGAAATAAAATTAGGTTTGTATCCAAAATGTCATACTATACCTATATTCTGGCCACAAAGGTAGCCTAAAAACATAATGCAGGCACTTAGCTTTGACTCAAGCTAATCTTGCAGATCTCAACAAGGCTTTGACAAAAATCCATTCAAATTAAATAATGGATTTGATTAATTGTGCCGATCCGACACAACATCTACAATTTGAATTCTCACAATACAATACACTTGTAAAACATTGCTCTTTTAATTATTTGTCAAGGTAAATGAGACAGCATTACAGCGCGATGTTCATGCACCTCATCAATTTAGCCATGTCTTAAAAGAGACCTCTTAAAGAATTTCCACAAAAGAGCCTCAGACTTATCTAGTAACCAACAGGAAAAGAATATGCATTTTAAGAATCACTTTTTTCAGTGACCCAAAAATAAAGAAAACAGACAAGAAAAGAGAAAAAACTGCGACACTATCTGCTGTGTCCTTATATTGTTGAACTGAAACTATGTTAAGCTCAGAGTATAGAAGCAGAAAACAGCCGCCCGCTCAGCAGCATAGCTCAGCAGCATTGCTCAGCATATCACAGCTTATCCAATCAGCTCTTCCAGTCACATCATCCCTCTTCATCAGAGTGCCTGATGTTTCTCTGCCGGCTGTGCGCACGCGCTGTGCACTGTGCTTCAATTCAGTACAATCAAAAGTCTGCCTTCACTAAGCTGTTTGCTCCCAAAAGCTAGCTCTGTACTCGCTACTCACTCTCTCATTCTGAATGATCAATCTGCATCTCTGCAAATGGAAAGAGAATGAGGGCACACAGGAGCTGTCAATCAACAGGCAACAGGTCAATGGTTGCATGGACAATTGAAATGCACGTGTGTGATATGCCTCTTATACAACATAGCATGGTTTCCTGTAAAAGTCTGATTATTAGGAATGCAGCAGATAAATAATATTTACATGGCATTCCGTAGTTAGAAAAACACTGACATGTTCTGTTAGAACGTAGCCTAACAAACTTAAAGTGGACCTATCATGCTATATTTGAATAATATATTGTAGGGCCATACCCATACAAAACATGTCTGTGAAGTTTTTTTTTCAAAATACCAAACAGATCATGCATTTTCGCTCTATTTGCTCTATTCTAGCCCGGTTTTTGCAAGGGCTGATTCTGTGGCAAATGAGCTGCAGCTGACCACGCCCCCCTGCAAAGGAGCGTCATGTTGCCATGCTGTTACCATGCCACGCAACCCCCCATTCCCCTGATAGGTGGAAAGTTGCCCATATAGGCGGAGCTCCCTGTTTCTGACGTCAGAACAATTTAAAATCTGTATCAGATCCGTTGCAGCCCCGTTTTTAGAGATTTGGGTATGGAGGAAAAGAGAGAGGGAGGGACTCGGAGTGGAGCCGCTCCTCCTTCGCGTCGAAAGGAGCCAGTTGAGGTGGTTCGGGCACCTAGTAAGGATGCCACCTGGGCGCCTCCCTAGGGAGGTGTTCCAGGCACGTCCAGCTGGGAAGAGACCAAGGGGTAGACCGAGGACCAGGTGGAGGGATTATATCTCTTCGCTGGCCTGGGAGCGCCTTGGGATCCCCCAGTCAGAGCTGGTTGATGTCGCCAGGGAAAAGAAAGTTTGGGGCTCTCTGCTGGAACTGCTACCCCCGCGACCCGACCACGGATAAGCGGGAGAAGATGGATGGATGGATGGATGGATGGATGGAAAAGAGAGAGGGTGTGTTTTCTGACACTTGGTGAGTTCCCTGACACACCGGGGACACATATTCATGTATAAAAGAGGTACAAAAGTGCATTTTGCATGATAGGTCCCCTTTAAAGGATCAATGAAGGGTTCATGACAATAAATAAAAGATAAGGAAAAGCCTTACCTGAGTGAGTTCAGGTATGTCATTTTTGTCTATTCCCACTTCCTGTAAAAGAAGACAGTGACCAAACAGTTACCAAAGCAGTTTAAGATAAAGCTGATATTCAGTGATATAACATGCTCTGCAGGCTACCTCAGCAATTTTGAAGAATTCTGAAACCCGGATCATTCGTGCCAGAAATCTTTTGTAGATCTCCAGCCCGTCTTTGCACTGGCTTCTCTTCATCTGGAAGAATTTTTCTGGATAACAGAGGATTTAAATGTTAATATTTAGGTTAAGGAATAGCTCTGGTGATATTTTATGTTTCAATAAATCACATGAAAAGAATAAAACCAACAATGGATCAATCCTGCTACAACGTATTTTCTGTGTAGCAAAAGCCTAATATATTTTATTCCTCTGTGACAGAGCTCCGCTGTTGTCCAAACAAAATTAAAAACACATAAGTGAGTAAATCTTCATACCATGCAGCTACTGTAGGCAATTTAGATAATTTTGAGTTGAGCCATCATGCAGTGTTCTGCTGCTGTCAATACTGGCTAAAGTACCAGATCTGAAAATAGTGCAGACAAATGCTTCTGTTGGAGTACTTATCGCTAAAAGCAAAGGGCTCAGCTATTATAGAAAACTACTATTTCTTTTCAACTATAGATTTGTGTAGTTGTGACTCATTTTTAAAGATTTATTTTGTCAGTACTGGAGAAATAATTAGGGTGTAGCTGAGTGCAACAGAGAGGGTAGTGAAGCTAAAAAGTATTAAGAAGATAATACAATAACCTCATCTTTTAACGTTAATAAACTGTTATTCTTTTATTATTTAGGTGAAAGGGGTGATTTGTACCTAGCAGGTTTATAATGCCGTCATTGTAGCAGGCATATAACTTGATCAGATCTTTGAAGAGCAGGAGAAAGCAGGCGTTTATCACCCCGTTGTTCAGTTCTGGGGCATGCACCTGCGACAAAACAAAAGAAACAGTGTGATTAAGATTTTGGATATGATTATAAGGAACACAAACTAGCTTTTAATAATAAAAACAGTAAGTATTGCATTCAAAAGACAATAAAATCCTATTAAAGTCGAATCATGTTAGAGGTTAACAGTCATATGTTACATCCACAAAATACATCTACACCATATTGAAAAGTTCCAGATTAAACACCTCTATCCTTACAATGATCAAAACTTGACTAGATTATAAATATACCTTATTTAAAAGAGAAATGTGTTTATATATTTTTAAGTTTTGCTTTAAATAATCTCCATAAAAGGTGCTGCAATTTACAAGTTGTCATAGATGCTTTCCGCAGCTTTTTTCTGATCGTGTTTATCCCTCAGAAAGTTCAGTAACCGTTCAAAGTGACTTTGTTCCCTATTAGCGAGTGTCACTCACTTCAAAATCCAGCAGTGCGTCGATCTGGCTCTGGAGGGTGGGCATTCCTTTCAACAGCTTCTCCACCGCCATGGTCCTCATCACTCCCTCAGCTCTGACACACAAAGAAATAGAAAATGTCACAACCAAGCATCAGCTCTCAGACTGACTGTCTACTTATAGAACCTGTCTGCACCTGTTACACATACAGTATCCAGTACCTGATCTCTATCCTGCATTTATATTTGGCCTGAGGGACTCTGTGTCTGCCAGCTAAACAGAACGGTTCCCTCTGTAAGCATGATTAATGACCCACTCTGTGTTCATCTCTGCACTCAGTACACTCAGTGGTCATTTTCTCAGTTATTATTGAACTTAGTCTTATTCCTGTGTCAAATGTCCTCCATTTAATCAACCTGACCAAAACAAGTTTTTGAATTGTGTTTTAATTGAAACTCTTACACATTATATTTAAGTAAATCTATTTGAGACAAAATATCAGCTTGTTGCTTTCTTCCAGGTCTTGTCATTTCAAACTATCTTTATTATGCAAAAAAAGGCATTATCATGGTTAGCTTCCTGTTCTGATATGGCACAGGACACTAAACTGCTGCATTAGAACAAAACTGACTATTTGTTTCAGTTTTAGTCTCGTATTTTTTCGTCAACAATTTTAATAATTGGTCTCGTCATTTTCTTCTGTTAGTCATGCAAACAAAGTGGTTAAGAAACATTTTTAAAAGGAACTATTTTGCTTTTTGGGGGTTTCCCTTTCCTATAGTGTGTTCTAAAGGTTTGTGTGCATGTAAATGGTCTGCAAAAGCTAAAATCCCAAAGATCCCCCCAGAGAGAATTCCTCTCCCAAACACATTCCTGAACCGCTTCCATTGGACTGGATGTCATTTTTTAGGGTTTTTGAACAAAATAAACATTGCATTCCTTACACATTTATGAGACCCAAGTGTGAGGTGTGTTATTCTGATCGATATGGAGTTCATGTAAGAAAGGGGCATTTTTTAAATCGATAAGCTAAAAATCTATAGTCAATAGAAATTCTGTAGTGTGGCACGGAAGTGTTGTGAGAGAAGTGAAAAAGGTACCCTTTCTTGACTCGGACAAAGTCAAAAGACATCTGTCTGTAGGCGAAGGCCTTTGTGTTCAGATAGCGGCTGTAGCGTCTGATGAACGTGGACATGTCGTAGCCTGAGGAGGAAACACTCATCAGTAAAACATATTCACAGTCTTCAATGTCAACTCAGAGCAGGGTATGTGGAGGCTCTTAAAATGCCTTGAAAAAAAAGACAACGCCGAGATGTTTCACAATGTCAGGAAACGATTAGATTAATGCAACAACTTGAGACAGCGGGAAACAGCTATCATTAGCATAGGTGGTAGCAATTATCTACTTATCTAACTCTTGGCAAAGAAGCGAATAAGCCTTTTTTTGTATTACTTAATAATACAGAGTACTTTACTAAGGATTCCTGTTTTCTTTATGGATTTGCAAGTTTCTTAGCACCTTAAACCCTTGGTTAGATTGATACTGAAGTATTAAATGTAATCCGGATTATAAAGTCTTTAAAGGTCCCATGACATGGCCATTTCTACTGATCATAATTCCATTATTGAGGTCTACTAGAATAGATTTACATTGTTCAATGTTCCAAACTCACATTGGTTTCTCATACAGCATCTCTGTAAAGTATGTGTATTCACTCTCTGTCCTAAACGGCTTGTTGGAGCTCCTGCCCCCCCCCTCCCTGTGAGCCCACTGTGCTCTGATTGGTCAGCTCGCCCACTCTGTTCTGATGAGTCCACCACCGTTACAGCGGAACATCAGTGATTATGTGTTACAATGGCGTTAGCAACCAGAAAATGACACCAGTAATGACAAACAGATGAGAATGCTACGTGGGGTCTGGGTGCCGTGTTGGAGGGACGTTGCGGGGCTCGCTGCTGTGAGGAGCGGACAGTGTGAGCTGGCTTGCTGCGGGGGATCTGCGAGACAGTAGGCATTGTGAATGGACGCGGGAAGGGGGGGGGGGGGTGCTGAGGGGGCTGCAGCACCCCCCTCTGCGAGGCTCCAATAGCAAGAAGTGTGAAATAATTGATGACAGAGAACCAGAATAAAGGGATGATAAGGGTTGAGAAAGATGGTTGGAGAGAGAAGGAAAGAAACACAACCTACCATGGGAGCCAGTTTTGTCCAGGAAGTTGCTGAGGTTGAACAAGGTGTTTCTAGATGCCAGGAACTGCATTAATTTCTGCAAGAAAGGACACATACACAGGCTTTATTTTTTCTCCCAGCCAGAAAATGACAGATGGTGATTTGTCTCGAATTTCTGCTATGGCAAAAAAGCTTAAGGTAGAAGTCTTGGGGAAAACTTTGACTTTGTGAAGTAACAGGTCCAAAATAGCATGGATCCATAGTGCGATCCACAATTAAATATTTTCATTGGCATCACAGTTTCACCTGTGTTTAGCGGATCTGTCTCGGTGTGTTTTGGTTTTTCATACACATTCTACAAAGACCCACCCCATACTTGCCCCTGATTGGCTCTAACTCTGAAATTTGTCTTCACTGAATGTGTGCGGGAGAAATAAATAAGACATGGTTGTATACTGCTCCATATCCTCCTAAAGCTAAATCACAACCTTAACACATAAAGGTTATTCAAACTGAAGAGAACAAATTGATTATTATTTTTGCCAGAAAATTCTGCACTACACCTGCTGAAATTTGAAACCATCGCCGGAGGTAACCCCCCACGTCCCCTGTGCCCGATAAGATGCATAATCCTGATTCAAAATCTTTGGCAGATATGACCTAATTTTACTTATATCAGAGCAAGTGCCTGCTTACCATACTAAGAAGCCTAAACAAATGCCTTTCACATTGAATGACTGTCCAACATTATGCATTGCAACAATAGCAAAGAGTGCAGACAAAGCACGGACAGGCATAGCCGCGGGAAGTCATTTTACTTAGGGGGTGTGGTAAATTGTCAACGGGGGGGGGGCAGTTGTGCTAGTGAACTTTCAACGGGGGGTAGCCTCGCTGTGGGGACACGGTGGACCTCTGTCGCCTGTCAGCGCAACTTCAATGATGCCGTTTAAAAACACATTAAGGGCGGTGCCGGCCGTGAGCAAACCGAGCCGGCCGTCAGCAACCCTACTTCCCGCGGCTAAGGTACTTTACAGTGCTTTCACTGATGTAGCATCTACTTTCAAAATGGAGATATTCAAAGAAAATAAGCCTGTGCCATGAATAATTCCTTTGACAAAATTAACAAAAAAGTCAGAAATTGTAATACAATTATACACTGCTAATTATACAGGAAATAAAAGTTAACCAAATTGAATTCCCAGATCATCAATATATTAGACACGGATTTGCAGGACTGTAACTGCCAGTGCCCAGTTACTAGTTTGCTTGCAAAAACGTTCGAAAACGTGTATTCAAATTTAGAATTTTGACGCACATTGCATTCAGTGTTTCCCCTACCATTGTCTTGGGGGGACACTGCGCCACCCCAACGGAACCCCGTGCCCCCCCTGAAATTCAAGGTGTTTTAAAAAAATATATATATATATATATAGGCCTATAGCGCCACATGATGAAAATAATCTATCTATGGTCACTTTTCACATTGAACATGTGCTCTTTTATTAAATAAACAAAACGCATATGTTATTTATCCAATTTATGTGCATGTTTCAGTGTCCACTGCATCGCTTTGCGCATTCACATTCTCTCCTCCGCTCTGTTTCTGAAGGGCGGGGCTCCGCTCCACACACACACACACGCACGCACGTACGCACGCAATGAGTGTTGAGAGCTGTAGCCATAATCTCTTCATCTTGTGCTCAAAGTGCACCAGATTGATGCATTTAACTTCAACATTTAAAAAAATATACTATAAGTATCATACTATAAGTTTGCCAGGCATTATTCACTACACATTTTCTTGGATTGCACCATAGTCCTAACACATATTTAGTTAGAAAGGCAGGAAAAGGGATTCAAATCGAGAACTATTTCCATTTCCACAGACCCCCTGTTTTGTGTGTCCCCCACTTCTCAAACCAAAGTAACTTCCCCCCCCCCCCTGCACGGATCGCCATCATCGGACCGCCCGCATCCCGCCCTGGCAGCACCCCCCCAAAGCAGTAAACCTAGGGGAAACACTGGCATTCATGATTGACGGAGACACAGACATTTCCACAGAGTAGTGTGAGATCGTCTACATAACAGGTGCACCAACAGTACTGTAAATGATGTGATAGGAGCACCAATGCACACAATGTAAAAAGTCAGTCTGGAGTCCTGAAAAGTGTCCTTATCTCCAATGGATTACACATATCAACAACATTAAACTCATTGAAAAATGCTCAGTGACAAATGAACACACTACTGTATGTCAGCATCTAGGCTTGTTATATTTCCATGATCATGTTAAACATAATGAAGGAAGGTTTGATGGTTATTTAATGGGTCTCCTCTGTGCTTTCAGCAGTCTACAACACAACTGTAAATTAATATGAGAGCTGTGATGCTATACAAGTCCTTTTCATTAGTGATCGGAAAGATATCCTGCATCTGAGTAGCAAAGCTGCAGACTAGGTAAGTGGTAGGGTGTGAATACGAATGAGGAGAATAGGGAATCCAACATTAAAACGGCTCTCTCTGCAGCCCTGCATAAACAACTACATTGATACATGTCGGCATAAAGCATGTCACACACACTGCTGATGCTTATTTAGCGGCTACATTCACAAAAACCAGAGCACACTAACATTAGGGATGGTTAAGAATCCTCCCAGGAGAAATGGGACGCCTCACATTATCGCCTCTCCTCCTTTTTTATTCTCACATTTTCTCTCCCCCTTCGGGCACTCTATCATAATCAGGCCACACTATAACAGCAAAGCCCCGGATACAAACAAACAGCTCTCTGGAGACAGAACACACTGTATAACCTATTGAAAGGCTCACACACATTTATGACACTGTCCCTTTATGTCTTTGTGGCCACATTATAACAGATAATAGCTGAAATATGGGCTAAGTAAATACTTGCACATTATTCACCCACAAACTGAGCTTTTTGTGAGTGTGTGTGTGTGTGTGTGTGTGTCCCAATCTACTCTTTCCCCCTGACACCTGCTTTATCGACAACAGAGGTTAATGCAATTATCTTCATATCACTAAATCTGTTCTGCTTTTCACCCAATGAATGCTGGGAGGGCATTGGGTTCTTTCAGGGGCTGTAAAGGAGCATCTGTTTATCTCCCTTGATGCCAGTGCAGAGGGTTTCCATTTCTCCAGCTGACAGGACATGAATGGGGTCAGGGGTCAGGAGCAGGGAGCTGAAGGACAGTCCCTTTGCTGATTTTAGAATGCTGCTGAGGTCATAATGTAGATCTACTGTATGAGGCAAAAGTCAAAATCCAGTGTTCTATTTTTATTTACCTTAAGGTAGCTCTAAACCTGAAATGAAGCAGGTATTTTGGGTAAATGTTCAGGTTAAAATGTACGCGTAGGTGATCATTACATTACATTTTACATTACATGTCCTTTAGCAAGCAATTTGGGGTTAAGTTTCTTACCCAAAGCTGCTGGTGGTTGAACTACTGACCCTCTGATTGGTAGATGCCCATTTACCCACTGAGGTGCAGCCGTACAAATCAACACCTTTCACATGACACAGACTTAATGGAACATTTGTTGAAATAAAAAAACCATCATATTCCAAACCATCTGTCAGCATCACATGTATGCAATTAAGTATCAACCGATTTCAGCTCTTCATTGAATTAATTATTCAAGTTTATTATAACATATATAATATATATATGATCCAAAAACATCATATAGTAAAATGACACTGACAGCGAAGATTTTACCGCATAAAAATGACTTTTACTTGATATACTTTCAGTGGTGATAGTACTTACATACTTTTACTTAATAAGGTTTTGAATACAGTAATTGTACATGCAGTGTGGTTTCACAATGTGGTATTACAACTTTTACATCATTAAATGATCTGAATACTTTCTCAAATGTTGTGAAAAGTAAGTATGAATTGGTAGATAAAAACAAATGCCCTGTTGTTTCTCTTGTTTGACCTAACAGCATAATCTTTGCACATTGTGGATGATACAGTAGCATGCAGATTCCTTGGCCAAAAGGGGATCAAAAATACAATTTGAATTTACATGCATGATTTGCAATCTGAGCTCCTGGTACGGTGTGTTTTCCAGCAGGTAAGTGTGTACACTGGGTCGTGTGATGAAAGCGATGCCCTACTTTGCTTTTGACATCTTCTGTCTGCCCTACTTTACCTGACATCTTCCCAGTACCACCAGCTGTCTCTACTGGGGGGTAGAATAATAAGTTGTGACAATATTGTGGGGTTGACTATTGTTGCTTTTACACATATTTTACCCAATGAAATGTTTGCGAAATATCTTTTAGTTGTGTTGATATTATGGTGAATAGTATAGAGAAAAAATAATCCTAGTATTGTCAACTTTAAAAATACATCGCTTTAATGATTTTCACCCTTTGAAACGATGAACACTTCTGAAATCATGACAATATCTTGTTTCATATCACTATAATATAGATGTATCGCCCAATTCTACCTTAGCGTAGGGTCCATTGCTCAAGTGAAGACATACTTCTCCAGACATGAGAACCATTAACCAACATGTACTCGGTGTGTGTGTTAACTGTATCCTCACCTCATTGCCATGCACCATGAGGTGGTGTGTGGTGATCAGGGCTTTGTAGACCACCACCCAGCTGGCGTTGCCGACCCTCTCCAGCAGCGTGTCGGCCAACGAGGGGATGTTCACATTGGTGTCCTGGGTGGCCTGGATCAGGTCTGAGGAGCATCAAAGAGAGCAGGAGCAGAAGGTCACATGGTGGAAATGATACAGTGTGTGTGAGAGAAATGATTGAATTAAGTAATGATAACAGATGGGTGAGAAATTACGGACAGGAGGGTGTTAGAGTTAATGTGCTGGGACTGCTGCATCTTAGAGCAGCACTCTCTCGCATTCTAATTTCTAGTTTAGAATGAGCAGTGTTTCCTCAAAGAAACAAATGTGTGAAAATCGAGTAAGATGTTTTTACTTGTGTACACTTTTACAAATATCTTTCAGAAAATAATCATGGCAACAACATCTTTGTCTGACTTTAAAAAAACATAGGTTAGGTGCAGGCCCGCCCCTCCCTACACGCAGATCACGCAGACTGCGTGGGGCCTCATCTTGCGGAGGGGGCCTCACTTGATGCGCAAATGCAGCGCACTTCAGCTTATGCCCAGATGCGGCGCAATTAAGCAGAGGCAGCCCTGGTTAGGTGTCTTGGAGTGTTTTATTCTCCAGGTGTTTCACTGTCTTTTTATAACGATGCAGATATAAAAACACAAATTGGAAAACCTGCTGCGCATGGTTCGGCTAGTCGGTGTATGTTTTCTGAAGGCTCTGCATACATTGTGAACCAGGTGAAGATGTTTCATTATTGGCATGTGTTTTGGCATATTTGTGTGATTATTGCATTGTCTACCAACATATTATCAACCATTAGTAATGAGCACATCTATTGCAAGCACAAGGAGCTCCTCTTTATCAACACACTTGCTTCTGGAGGCTGCAGTCCTCCATCTTAATGAAATGTATATAAATAAGTGCTTCACATGTTGCCACTTTAGTCACACTCACTGCTTCTTTGTTCATTCCTGCAGCTACGCATTAATACCAGCACAGGCAGAGTGGAATATTCCACAGCAGAGAAACGGAGAGGAACCAGGAGGGGGGGGGGTTGTATTACAGATCAGACGATCAGCTTTATGGAACGGATCAGACAGAGCTAAAGAAACACACAGAGAGACTTGTCCTGGGGAGTGTTGCCCTGATGCAATACAGCTGACTCTGTAAATCATATATCCATGTTCTTATTCATATGATATTCAATCAAATGATCACTTTTACTGCTAAAGACCCCTTTACCTGTTTGTTATAATACAAGTATTAAATAATCAATTTAAAGATAACTGTTATATAATTCATTTTATGTGGGAAATACATTAACACACATATCAGTGGAAGGACAAGAGTACAATCATTTTGAGGCATTTTGTTCAAAGCTGCACTAAGCAATATTATTTTATGTGTGTTCCCTTGAAGCATTTTAGCTTCTTTTAGCTCATTGTTTTGGTTTTACAGTCACAACTTTACTGATTTGGATTAACACTTTCATCAGTATCATTTTTAACCTATGCAGGCAGATTTCTACAGTGATAGTAACTGTATTACACCCACCAAACCACAGACAGACAAAGTTAGAAAGTAGAGCATATCCCAGTTCTAGTGCCAGATATTTCACTCAACAGAAGGCGCAAAGCAAGAACAAGTTAGTATTAATATAGAACACTTGTTGGGAGGTGAGAAACAGCCACTGAATCATGGCTCATGTCTGATGGATGTGTCTGTTAACATATTCGCTGATATTTGAGTAAGTAACAATATGTCAGATAATTCTTCACCCGCGGACTGGCTGATTCCCTTTACCATGTCAATTTGAATAATGCTAGCCAATTATGTAACTTGTTGTTTTTTTCCTAAATAATAATATTACATGGTATTTTGATGGAACCTTTGCAAGAGTTCAAAGACGCTTTACACGCTAATAAATGAAATAACAACATCGTGTAAAAAAATCCTAAAATGACTGAAAGAGGAAGTGGAAGTGGCAGGGGGGGTAGATGATTAGCAGTTGAACGCGGGAGTGAAAAAGGTGACTTTTGAGGGTGTTTTTTTAACGATAGGAGTGTGTTGCCATTGTGATTGTGACTGGAGAGGGAGTTCAGGGGGAAGGAGGGGGGGATACAGCGAAGGCCCTGTCGCCCATGGTCCGGAGCTTAAAGTTATGATCGGTTAGCATCAGCAGACCTGAGGCGACGGGTAGGGGTGTGTCTTAAAGGGGGACACAGAGTTGACAAGGTTGTTGATGGATTTGTAAGTGAGAAGTTATATTTTGAAGTCAGTCCATTGTTTGGTGGACTGCCAGTGGAGGTGTGTGGTCTGAGGGATCGCTGGAGGTGAGCATGCGTTCAGCGGAGTTTGGACATGTTTTTTTAGTATGTATGCAGGTCAACCATAAAGGATGCTGTCGCAGTAATCCATATCAAATATGTGAGCTGTCCTCCATGGCAAACCTGAGGTCATATCTTCAGAGACAGTTTGAGGAATAAGGTAAGTAAGTAGGTGTGCATGCGTGATGGACACAGAGGGAGATCAAATATGACCGGCCTCTTTTTAAAAGCCTTGATTCAGCAGAGCAGAGCATCTTCTATTGAGCCCTGTGATTCATTAATAGTGTCACATCCATCCTGCACGGTTACTGCCAGCAGACTGAGGCAGCAGAGAGGTGTCTATTGATTCTGCCTTAATATAGAATAAATGGCAGCTCACCTGCAAACACGGAGCAATCTGTCACAAGTTAGAACGACATGAAATAAATTGGATTTTGACAACTTCTTAAAGTTTTGATGTATTGTATTTTTAAATGATACAATAAATGCTTAATTTTTATAATTTCTTTGTACTTTATACCATAGTTTTACAGCTGAATATTGTTCCAAATAAATACTTATATTTGTCCTGCTTGAGTAACGTTTGCTTTAAAATAATACCCAAGTGAAAAAAAGGATTTAGGATGCTTAAAGGGGACCTATCATGCAAAATGCACTTTTTGATGTCTTTTATACATAAATATGTGTCCCCGGTGTGTCGGGGAACTCACGCAGCGTCAGAAAATAAAACCCTCTCTCTTTTCCTCCGTACCCACATCTCTAAAAACGGGGGTACAACGGAGCTGATCCAGATTTGCGTCCGATATGACTTCATATCGGAAATGTGGAACTACGGCACTATCATAAAGTTGCTATCAGAAACAATGCCCGACTGTTTTGGACATAATATGGTCGGTGCATGTTTACATTAGCATCGCTAACACTCAGAGCTAACCTGTACTGCACAGAGCATTTGTGTGAAGAAGCAGGAAATACAAAGGAACTCACCTTGTGGTATAACCGGCAAGAGAGAAAGCCTTTGAGCTCCAGACTGTTTCAGAAATAACCCTTGATAATCCATGATATGGCGTTTCATCACGGCAGTATTTAGTTTAGACAGTAGCTGCCGGATCCCGCATGAGCTCAGCCCCCTCCTTTTTCTTTTATCAATTCTTTTTTTTTTTTTTAAAGCTTTATACCCAAAATCAGCACTTTTGAAACAGGAAGTGAAATAGAGGGATATGAGGCATGGCTAGAATGGGTGATCTGTTTGGTATTTTGAGCAAAACACTTCATAGACATGTTTTTTATATATTTGTATATATCTGAGACCTATGCTATTGCCTAAAAACAGCATGATAGGTGACCTTTAATATAATCCATTGTTGGGGTTGTTTTTTTAAAGGGATTTGTTAATAATAATAAACATATAGAAAATCAGTCTTATCCTTCAAGTACCTTGATCACAATAACAACTACAAGTTGGACATGAGATTTCAAAGCCAAATAAAAAACGTAAAAGATCTTTACCCAACAATCTTTAAAATCATGAAATCATCCAAACATAATTTAAAGACAAGCATATGGATTTGGTGAAAAAGGGATAAAACCAATTTGCAGAATACAGATTGAGTAATTGTGACTAATGCTAATAAGGAGCTGTTTCTAACAAAGCCATTTAGTTGCTTTGAATTGATCAAACTACTTTAGTTGTTTCCTTTTCCAGGGAGGATGTTTACGGCTCGGTTTGTTTGTCTGTTCGTCTGACTCTCCACTGGATTGCGGAAAAACTACTGGCCCGGTTTTCATGAAAATAAGCTCATAGAAGAACCCGTGAAATGTTGGCGCGAATCCGGATAACAGGACAATACAAATATTATATTTCACTTTGAATATCATTCCAAGATTCACCTTATGTTGGAACAACAACTCAGAAAAAGCAATCAAAGTTTACTTTTTAGTGTCCGCCTATTCCATGTTTTGACCCAAAGCACTTGAACCCAACAAAATGGGAAGAACGACTTCACTACTTGGGAAATGACGACCTCCGAGGAGCATGTAAATGCACCGTTGGCCTTGGCTGAGGTTTGTGCTTTCCCAATGAGTCTGGATTACTCTACATCCAGACTAAAGATGGAGATGGAACTAATGGTAGATGAAGAGTCTCAGGATTTAGTGATTCTCTTTATCATGAGAACTTTAATCTTTGACCAGTGATTTTCATTTCCTGCTTTATAATTCATGTTTTTATTCCCATGAATAAATCAAGTCCAGCAGCCCACAGTGAGTGTAGATGTAAAGGGACTGCACGAACATTCATGCAAAAACGCATTCAAGGTCACTTTGCTTTGACAGCCGAGCTACAAGTCTTCTAGCGCTTTCCATCATGCTTCCATCATGCGTAATGAATGCTGTGCATGTCCTCCTCAGTAGTAGGAAACACACGCACATATAAACATGCACACTGCACACACACTCCGATTGAGAAGGATAATCCCTACAGGGCTGATGAGTCAGCATCATCCTACGCGTTTCATCTCTGCGTCTCTTTCTGTCTCCATCTCCGTCTGTCGCTCTGTCTGTCTCTCTCTCTCTTGTTTCCCACAGTGAGGGAATCTGCTTTTGCCAGACTGCGAGACGAGCTGCACAGTCACGACCATTACAAATCTACGTGAATCGATCCCCTTAATCATGTCCTAAAAAGAGTACAATAAGAACATGAGAAGGGCTGTAACTCAAGTGGAGAAATATGTTTTTAATGATTTGTTGCAGCCTTATGGCATGTAAACTCATCTGTTGGAAAAGGT